TATTGATAATATCCATCTGGCCTTTTTCAAGTTTTGCTTATTTTATTTTTAATCTAGAATAGCTCTAGCACTTATGTGATGAATATTCTATTTCAAATATAATAAAATTTAATTCCAAAAGTCTTTTATCCAATTCTACTTTTTTTTCACTAAGAAAATGCAAAGCTCAGCTTAAGTCTGACGGACTATACTCGTATATAAAATATACCTATTTACATATTTAAATGAATGTAAAAAACACCAATAATATTAAAGGACTTATGTTTTATAAACAAAATGGCTGATATATAAAAAATCTGTTTAAATTTAGAGCCTGATATCAAGTTCATTAAACTTTACCGACAGTGAGGAATAAGCAAACAATTTTATAGGTTACTGCCGCTAACACACGTGCTCTGATTTTATTTACTTTCAACGTTACAAAACTATACGTATGTAAAGTATTACACTATTAAAGTAAAATATTATCACTGGATAAATCTAGTAAGATTTTTAATAAAATAGTTCTTTACATTCTATGTAGCGTGAGTAAAATGTTTAGTTTATAAACGCGATATAAATGCATAAGTTACCTACACTTATTTGCTTACCGCATTTTCGCAAAATGGAAGAATTAAAATATTTGCTAAAAACGTATAAATGTTTTGTTTACCTCACTGATTTGAAACTTTCTTTACTGTTTTATAGGTAGGTATTTTGTTGTTTTATAAGTAATTATTGTCACCTATGGGTATTTTCTCACCAAAAGCTACAGTCACTCATCGATCGATTCATGATTTTAGTAGGATTGTATTAATTAGTGCGAACATCACTTATATAATGTATAAGTAGGTTAAGCAACTACTACGTAACTTAACCCATATGTACTGATTTAATTCATTTTAAAAGTATATAACATTTATACTGAGATGTATGATCTAGTAAACAAGATTCTATGTTGTACTTTATTAAGGGCGATGTTTCCTTAAAAAAAATTGTTTATAAGCAAACAGTTGATAAGAATAAGTTTTATTCAATAGTTTTCTTTGATATAAATATTATCTTAAGAATTTTGACTTGGAGACATTCTAATAACGCATCTTCCTCACTTGAAGTTTGTATATATGATTTAATTAAAATAAGTTACTATTACTTACGTAACATTTACAACAAATACAAGTAAAATCAATATTTTTTAAAGAATTTTACTTCTAGACAACTTCTAAAAACAAATTTTCCTTATTTGAATTTGGTTTATCTGATTAAAATTATAATAATTACATATAAGATCAATTTCCTGTTAATACATTATTGATTTTTTCACTTTCACAATTGATTTGTCGACCTTTGCTCTCACGACCAGCTGACCTTCACTCTTCAGACCCTCGTAAAGAGAAGGTTCAGGTCACCAGATAAATAACTTTTTGGGACTTTCGTTTAAATTGGCTGTATGGTGTGATTCTTTTCTTTACACTTATCGTGAACTTGTTTGCAACTATTATTGTATTTATTTATATATTTTAGAACAATTCTATATAATTTTTTATTATTAATGAAACCATTAAGATATGTAAATAAGAGAAAATTATTTTTTATAACCGCATACGATTTATTTCAAATATGCATTAATGACAAGATAATTATTTAACTTCTTAACAATATGTATTGTGTAAATAATTAGGTTTCGTTGTTTTACTCAAAGACTAGTATTTATTGAAATCATTGTGTATTGCGGAAAGGGATGTTTGACCGCAAATAATTTACGGTCGTATTATATGAAGTTTAAACGCCATTGTTAAAAGAACCAACTGTTTTGTACTAGCATTGGTTTTCTAAAGGTTTCACTTTAAGCATTTATTTGTTGTGTTCGTCCAAATAAGACCATGTGTGGCGGATTTATTCGTCTTCATTTGACATATTTGCACAAATAAGACACATACACAAATAAGTGAAAACGCGTAAAGACGTGTTCTTAGCATTCCAAGTGTGGATGTCGTGTTTGAGCTATTTGGATTATGTACAAATACTTGGACAAATGCGGCGAATAACTATAAATATTATATTTTGAACCTTGTAGCGCTTCAAGATTTAAAATAACAAGTACATTGACCTTCATCCACTTATCAGGTGACTAACTTGTAGTGATTGCGTCATACAATAATTTCTTTTTAATAAAGCTGATACATCTTTAACTTAAATTGTTCGTACGTGTATGGTTTTATAAAATATTGTTATTTGATTATGCTTTTATTAGAGAGCATAAAAAAGGGATAAAATTTACATAAAAAACGGTATTTGTTTGTCTAAAAATTCGTTTAATTATCCAAATTTTTGTAACTGACTTTCATATATATTATTAGAGCTAAAAAACAATCAAATTTATTATGTTTTCAATAACATATGAATGAGTTTTAAAATATGCATCGAATGTAAGCTATATAAAAATTTGTGTATAACCAAGATGCACAGATAATAAAATTCGTTACAGTCAAAACATCATCGTTTACGTGGTCACGTAACGTGAAATACGCCGACACGATGCTAATTCGTTCCGACTTACCTTACATAGAGAGCGGGCCATGACAAAAGACTTACGAAATACTTAAATATACACGCCACTTTATATAGTGTACTCTCAATGTGTTTAGTACGCGTAGTCTTCTACCTGGCAATTTCCCAGTTTTAGCCAGGGTCTGCCTTACATGTTGTGAATAGTTTTGACTAATTGTTTTTACGACCGGCCGCCTGCCTGACATCAACCCTCTTTGGGGATACATTAATCAGTGATGTCTAAATACTCTTAGAATGTACATATGACTCGGAAAAATCACATTGGTACTTACCAGGATCGGCTCGCGTCCTCGTGCATGAGAGGCGGGCCTTTAACCACTAGGCCACCACTGTAGTATTACTGAATGACAAATTAAATACAGATGGTATACCGTATTTTATTTATGAATAACCGTATATATGAATGAAATAAACTATTTGTTTTTAGTCTTACAATTCACTCGTGGTAAGGGTATTGCGTACGTGTGGTAAAAATTTATCAATGGATTTTTTTTAATGCTATGGTTTGATTCGCACTGGAGTCGTGGAATGCATTGCTAATGTCAACGTTTTTATTTGTTAGAGGTAATAATTAATTATTTAAACAACGAAATAGAAAATTTCGTTTTATTTCACGTTTTAAGTATACTTTTATTCGTATAAAGAATTGTCTCAAAAGTACCTAATAAATATTTTTAACGTCTTGTATCTACTGATTTTTCGTTACATGTGTTTAATATTATATCAAAGTTATAATTAAAATCAAAATATACTTTTAAATTTAATTTTAATGAAAAACAGCTTTGAATACTTTAAGATTTTATTTCCCTATATAATTTTATTACTATAAAAACTTTTCATTTTAAATGAAACTTAACTTAAATGTCCTTAATTAGTATGTCGCACCTATTTTCCTAGTATTGTCTTTCTAGTTCACTCTATATTCTTAGTACAAGTTCACATCACACTACATACGAATGGTATCGCGTTTTTCATTCAACAACCTGTTTAACTATTAGAAAAATTATGAATGAATTACTTTTAAAACTCCGTATGTAGTGTCGATACGAACTTTGAGTAAGAACACTTAAGTTATTATTAAGATACTGTTACTATAGAGTATAGTTAGCACATGTTTATATAAATGCAATTTTGAACTAAACGATATATATATCAAACTTATAACATAAAAGTAATGGTTGAACTTTAAAGTTAGCTGTTGAATGTACATAGTTTAAACAGAAAACAAACTCGCAGTACGGTTCGGGCGTCGAGACTCGAGACACACCTTGTCAATTAAAAACTTCATTTAGTTAGTGGCACTTGATTAAAACTGTTGCAACTAATGATAATATTTAAAATTAAGAACATTAAATTGTCTGTATGTAATATAAAATAATCATTTTTAATTAATATATTATGTATGCTTCTCTTTGTTATGACTAATCTCTGAAACGACTGCACCGAATTTTCACCTGCAGATTGCTCATACTCGTGATAAGGAATTACTAAGGCTACTTTAATAAAAAAATACTATTCCTTTTAAACAAGGTCGCGGGTAAAACTAGTATTTTATAACTGAAAATGTGTTAGTGTGAGTGGTAGGTAGTGTATATTTTAAATATGTATGTGTGTGTGTGTGTTAGTTGAAGCTAGCACTAAGGGTAGTATTTATTCCATACATCATTTAATATCCCGATATGAAGTTTAAACAAGGGAGCTTAACCACGTGTGTAATTTAATACATATCATGAGGATTTCATTTCAAAGGCAATACAGAAAAAATATATATCGGCCGTTAATTAACTTGAATAGTAACAGACAAAGGAATAATTCATATTCCGGTCACGGCGAAAGTTCTGTTACGATATGTCCTTACAGGGCGAGTGAATGTAGACTAAGGTTTTATACTTTGTATATTGAAATAGCTCATAGTTATAATTGTTTAGAATATAATATGTGTTTGTAAATACTACTTTATTAGTATGTGGCTTCATTAAACAACTTATAAGCATCGATTTATACTTGGTTTGAAAAGAGTGAGAGAGATGGCGTATGCTTTCGGTCTAGCACCATCTCTTTCCTCATAGCTACGGTACTGTTTTGAGAGAGATAAAGATAGACCGAAACTTCGTTTCCTCTCTTTCTTTCGGAGTGCCACAATTCTCATCTCAAGGCATGTTAATTAGTATAAGTCGATGCTTATAAGGTATTCAATGAAGACACTTGTCAATGTCATGTACATTTTTTTTATTTCACACTGTCATAATATAATCAGAGTTTTCTGTAATTTTCTGTTGACATTTGTAGTTTTTTTTATTAAAAAAATACTAAGAACATTTAATTTTAAAGCATATAGTAATTGAATGTAATTTTAAACTTCTTACAACGCCCACGTCCACCCACTGTAGATACTAAATTGGTAAGTTAAGTTAGTAATACAATGAAATAATATTATATTTTTGTTCCAGGATACAGCAGCCCGAAGGAAAATATGATTTTAAATCTGCATCTTAACAGGTTTGTATTTTTATTATTATTTAAATAAACGACATTAGGTATACAAAATAATGTTTTTTTCTTCGCATTTGTATTAACTATTGTACATAGTGTAGTTTATACAATGTTAGGATACAAACTTAACTGATGCAGTATTCAATTGAAACTTCAAACGCCGGCGCCTTTCTAAATTGGACTGTACCGAACACGAAAAAATAAACACGAAGCGATGAAGGAGTTCACTGAGTACGAATTAAGTGACGAATGTATATGTTAACTGTATACGATAGAAATTAAACTTTGAATCATATATAGACTTAAACAATAGTAATATATTATACTAGCTTTCCGCCCGCAGCTCCGCCCGCGTGGAGTTCGGTTATATCGCATTTCCAAGAGAACCTTTCAAAAGTCTGGGATAAAAACTATCCTATGTTCTTTCTCAAGGTCAACTCTATATCTGTATCAAATTTCATTAAAATCAGTTCAGTGGTTTAAGCGTGAAAGCGTAACAGACAGACAGACAGAGTTACTTTCGCATTTATAATATTAGTAGGGATCAATGCTTACTAACAAAGTTTTTTTTTATTATATGATCAAATTGAACGTAGATTGACGATATATTTGTTTAATTAATCCAGATATTCTGAATTCAAACCGCGACTTTCTTTTTCATCCATAAAAAAAATAACTCTTTTTATTTAGCTGAAAGTCTCATTAATACAGCCATCGACATCTCCAAATATAATTAAAAAGTATTAAACACCGTTAAATCTATTTACGTTTCGTCCTTTGTATATTTATACTCCACTTAAATCCAGACTTAATAGTAAGTATAAAATTACCTAGCAGATATCCCGAGTGACCCCGCAATGCAGCATACGCTTTATAAATGCTGCATTTTAGTTCAGCGCTGTTTGTCTGGCTTGAAAGGCATTATGGAGTTTAGACAAAACGGCTTTACGTTTTACCTGTATACATACTAAATATATTTTTAAACAATACATGTACTCCTAAGAAAATAAGTTTATTATCTAACTTACTATTCCTTAATATATATAATAAGAATTAAAATGTCAAAGTAGACTCAAATGTCAGTCGTCCAATAAGAACAATAAATTAAAGCGCTTTAAATCAGCTTTAAGATATAATTGTCTATCACAACAGCACGTGCGGGCTTAAAAGTAATGCAATCAGATATTACAAAAACAGAAAGGTGCGTTTAAATATAGATCTTAATAATATTGCAATAAGCTTTATTATCTTTTGGTTATGATTGACCATTAAAAATGTATGGACACGCGTTCATACAATTACACTCCGTACATATCTTAAAGTATAAAATAGTAAAAGACTTGGGCCTGTCCAGAACTAATATCAATTAATTCTTGGAATGTACGTCGAAGGCAGCCCTAGTAGGTTCTTTTCAAATTTGGTTTAAGGTAGAGGGAGGAGCTTGGACAGTGGAGGTGAGCGTATAACGCGCGTTAGTTAAGGGGCCCCTTAAACCTACACCTGGGTCACAAGTCCCAGGCACTGTTGAAGCTCCTCTCACTACAACGATGGACCCGACACACGCACCGTGAATCCATGGAACGATGAGAAGTTTCTTCTCATAATATTTTTACAGTTTTTTTTTTATATTAAATATATTTTCGAAGATTCATTAATATGTTAACTTCTGTTCAAAGCACACGCAAAGCACATTTTATATATTGATCAATACTATACAATAATATTACTTCTGTAATTTAAATAACATTTCTGAAAACAAAATATTTTTCAATGACAAGGTTTTTCAGTGTGAATTGAATTAAAACTTTTACATCTAGATTAGCCTACTTAGTCTTGTCGAGTGGGTTTCTCGTCTAGGTCATCTAGGTAAGCTAAATCTAGGTCAAATAGATTAATTGGAATGCGTGAGATGATATTGGATATCGATTTGCAATTACGTCACTTTGATGACGTCATGATCCGTAGATACTAAACTATTTAATGGTTACGATAATAATTAATTATTTTATTTGTTTTGGAAAGTAAAATATATTTTTGTTTGATTATATGATTATTATGAAATAAGAAAAAATACAGACAATAAAGCTTCATTAACCAATTACAAGAATTGAGTTAAAATTTTCCTTTATTGGAATTCATAAAATATAAAATTATTAGTCATATAAAACTCGTACAAAATTATTTCTATGATTGCTTTATAGTCATTTCAAGATATGTATAATTAAATCAAAATAACATATAATATATTCTTGGTTTTGTCATTAACGCAATAACAATATATACAAATAATGTCTAATTTTCATAATAAGGATATTTTTGTAATTTAAAAAACTCATGTTCTCTTATAATATAATAAAAATGAAATTTAAAACTTTTATAACCCTGTTTAGACTAAACAGCGAGGCGTCGTCTACTCGAAGTTAATTGTTAATACTAAGTTTACCTAAAAGTTTATCAAAGTTATTGTTTCGAAGCAAATATCAATTCATTTAACTTTTAAAACGTACATATACATGTACTAAATTTGATATTTAGTTCAATCACTCGTCTGCGTATTTGTTTTTCTAAATTTTAATCAATTACGAGTATACTGTCTGTTTAACGTTAAAATGTTTTTGCTTAAATGATTCAATAACTAGGGTATTAACTATAAATGAGAAATAACATCTTTTCAGAACTAACCTCCTGAAAGCCCCTATAAGTCATATATATAAATATAACTTCTGTCATGGATTCTTTGGCAGGCGTCCGAAACACATCCCAGTCGACGCTAGACTGTGACGCGGCCCGCGTCGTCTGACGCATACGATACACGAATACGAATATTCCATTTTTGAATTTTTTTTTCTTTTTTTTTTGTTCTATCATGCCAATTAACTTTATCTGCTATACAAACTTTTTACATTTAAAATGTGTTTGCGTGTAAAGTGTGTTAAAGTGTTTAAAAATATAACTGGTTTGTCATAAATTTCATTAGTGCTGTAAAAAAAAAAACGTATTAACCTCTGTAAAGTCTGCAAGTGCTATATTTAGTGGTAATTCGTTGACCTGGGTGAAGGATGCGAAATTATTAAATGTTCAGACAGATCTAATGAGAAATGCACGGGGTTTAATTGTCAGTTCCCATAAATGAGGTTTTTCTGAATGGAGTTGGATTTTGAACCTTATTGTCACGTATCACAAGACTAAAGATTTTAGACGTAAATTCGCATATGAAAAGAATTATTATCTTTTGTAATCGTTGGCATAGTTGTTTAGAAACGACTCATTACTTTATATACAATATTGATAGCATCATATGACATTTAAATGAAACTAGATCTCATTATCCTATGACATGTTTTCTTATTTGTATTTATATTTATTTCTTTGGAAACATGGTAATTAAAAAAAATGCTCATTAAATATACGACAATCATTATTACCTACGATATTTTGAATATGTAATTAATCACTAGACTACAATAAACGTTCTTGGAAGTGTATACGGAACCATAATGTTAACGTTTCTGAACGATACAAACATTAAAACCATGCGGTTCGGGATCATAAAAACATTTTTAAAACTTTCTCGATATAAGTTTTGTGATATAAAAATAAATATATAGTTTATATAAGCTTTTATAACCTTATTAATTTTAAAGATATACTTTTTTTAGAATGGCAACACTGAATAAAAAAAACAGATGTTCCTTATTTTACGGTAATGATGACACGTTCTGAAATTGTCTGCACGTTGTGCTTCAAATTATGTGAAAAAATAATGTTTTTGAGATAAAATAAATAATATAATCAAGAAGTAAGGATTAAAAGGATAAAAATATTTTTAAATAAAATATTGTTGGCTTTTTGATACTATGTAAACTGTAAGCGGATTATGTTGCCAGATTAAGAGAAGTGAAAAAACAAATTAGTGATAAAAAACGCTCTTTATGTAAAAAAAAAAGAATGAGTAATACGTAAAACTAGAAGTATATCCATAAATCAGTAGTTATTTACAACCACTCAGTCTGGCTGACTTGTTTGCCAGTGGAAGACGAAAAATATGTTTACTATTTTAAACCATACACAATAATTACTTTATAATATAACATACATATAAAAAACTCTATTAAAACGAAGAAAATTTATATTAATGAATTAAAATTAAACCTATTGATATAAAAACGTCGATTTATCTTTTTTTTCCATTAAATTAATCTCATTACCGCCTATTGTCATAATGCTATCCAATTTCCTGAATGAATTCCTTTCTGAACGTTATTGTGAATGTCATTCGTATTTCTGGAACTTTTCCAAAAAATCCTTTCCAGCGAACGTCTATTGTATTTTCATTTTACCTACGATATTAATTTGAAATCTTATTTCTTATATCAATATTATATATTAATAAATTAATAATAACATTTTTAAGACTTAAATATATTATATATAAACTCCTTGAATAAAATTATAGCAATATCACGATTCTCATAAACTGTATTTTATTTAGTATTCTCAAGCATTTTTTTGTATTAAAATGTAAAAAATATTCCATTTATGTATTAACAAGTTATCGTGGTGGCTTAGTGGTTAAAGGCCCGCCTTTCATGCATGAGAGCGCGAGTTCGATCCTGGTAAGTACCAATGTAATTTTTCCGAGTCATGTCACTTTCTAAGAGCATTTAGAGTTTAGACACCACTGATAGACGGTGAAGGAAAATATCTTGAATAAACCTAGACTTTAATGTCCAATTATAAGTTTAAAATCACCAATCCGTCTTGAGCAATTGGTGATTAATGCTCAAACCTTCTCCATGTGAGAAGAGGCTGAGCAGTGGGCTCTGATAGGCTGATGATGATGCATGAAAAATAATATTTTATATATATAACTGTTTCCCTCTCATAGTTTCTGCTTGATTATTAATAAAATAGATCAAAGTGAAGTCGAGATAAGTTTGTTTTGTGTCAACATATATTAAACTTTCACACGTCTTTGATAAACAGATAGTTATGTAAAATAAAATACCTAATAAACATGTCAGTTGATAGCTTATTAGTAGAATTTAAACGAAATTATCTATAAATATACCTATATTTAGTTTCAAAATCATCAAGTTAATGAATGAAACGTCGGGAGTATAAATTTTTTACAATAAACTATACGCGTAGCAATCCGAAAAATATTAGTTTCATTTAAATGAATATTCGTGAAAATCTTAGATCTCGTGACGTAATAAATGTAAAAAAACTACGTGTCTGTATAACTAAGTTTTTAGTTATATTATTAAATATACTTTTACTAACCCTACTTCCTGTTCGTATGTATTTAGTGGTAACTTTGGGTCATTCAGCCTTTTGTCAGTTTTCGTGATACTTAAGAGAAGTTTGGAGAGTTGTTTAGACTGATATGAAACTTCATTTGAGAATAATAGAGCAAAAGTCGCGTGTGGCAGCTAGTATTAAAAGTCAATGACCTCATATTTTTTGGACACTTCGAAACTTCTATCCACTTTTATCCTTTGTTTGTTTTATTTTACATGTTTTGCTTAATTAACGAATATAATATATATATACAACTAGTTTTTGCCCGCGACTTCGGCCGCGTTAGTTTCGTCATTAGTAATATATATATAGCTGACCAGGCGAAATCTATTCCGTCTTAGAGGCCATAAATAATCAGGTTTTTCCTGTATCAATCAAACAGAATGATTGACATATTAGTTGGTTGTCAAATCTAATGTCAAAAAAGCGTTTGTATGGGAAATAGAAAAGGGCTGGTTTTAGGGTTTTCCCGGCAATTATTCCAATTTTTCTCACCTTTTATACCTTCCCTGAACCTCCACGAACATTTCAAGACTAAGATAAGACAAATCCGTTCAGCTGTTCTCGAGTTTTAGCGAGACTAAGGAACAGCAATCCCTTTTTATATATATAGAAGATAATTTTAATCATTTTAATACTCTGTATTCGTTGATTGAAGATTGATTGTGAATTCTAATTTCCGTTTATATTACTATGAGAAATTTACTAAATTTTTTAATATTTAAGTCGACTAAATCATTTAATATTTTATTTAAATATAAAATGATTGCAAACAGTAATAAATAAAAAAATTATAAAAACAAACTAATTCAGCGTCGTTACTTCTAAAACAAGATTACTTCATTAATTTTAACAATGTCACAATAAATATGTCAATTAAATAAACTAAAATATTATTAGTCGGCTGTAAGTTGTAAATCAGAAGCTTTCTACTATACATTATTGTATATTTTAGAAGTTATAGAATCTCTGTGACCACAAAAGACATTAACCTAAATATTGTCTATGCTTTAACATTACATTTGGTATCAAATAAAATTTGAATTTGGAACTTATTTTATTTTTAGAAACAAAAATATATCTTTCAATGAATCATATAAAGAAGGGATTTCTCATTCGTCTGCGCTATAAAAAAAATGGCCATCACAGACGCAACCTGTCAACATATTTAAATTTAGAACAGTCTGCTCCACAAATGAGTACCTTGGACGTGTTATATTCAGTCTCTTTCATTAGAATATTAGCTCTCTCATTCTTGTGTCGTTTTCAACGATGTATTCAAACTCTGAAAGGAATACTTTGACTTTTTTATTCTTTATTTAAAGATACAAATTGACTGGCCGCAAAAAGTAGGTTATGTTTATGATTAAACAAAAAAAAATTATATGTCAAACTGTCAATGTCATTGGTAGATTATGATGTCAAAATTATTATGTCTTAATAATGACACAAATAAATAAATAATTATGCATAACTCAAGAATTTAATAAATATATATAGAAAATAAAGTTAATTTCTTTGTTAAAGCGGTACTAATGATAAAAATACATAGCAGGATAGCGTAGATGGGAGTCACTTAACACATTTCAATAACCTCTGTGCACGCAGTCCCTGGGAACTTTTACCCTTCTATTGTATCCGAACTAATCTAGCTAATGGACGAGCGTGTGACGTCACAGCTACCCGACTAAATAAACACGACTCAACGAACTTGACACTCCTCAATATTAAAACCAATTTTTTTTTATCGCTATGGCATAATGCTGTAAGATCTTTGCCGAAGAGAAGTTACAATAAAAAAAATTAAGTATACTGACAGAATGTCAAATGTCAATATTAATGAAAACTATTTAGGTATATGAAATTATTACGTATTTATGATAATAATAGCGTTATTTTAACTTGTTAATGTTTTTTTTTGCAACAAAAGCTTTTTAAATTATCTTTGCCGTGGTTAACTAAAGCCAACTAAACCTCTACAGGTACAGTTCAAATCTGATTCTGGAAATCAATTTTAAGTGGATTACGTGAGGCTGTTCGTTCCAATTATCTCGTTCGGACTCAGATTACGTGAAATGAAAAAAAATATAGTTCGTTACTGGCTTTTTTTTTGCTTTTTTATACACGTTTTTGGTTAATAGTTCTGATTTCCAGCTATCTGGAAATAATATTCCACATTTTGGTTTCTTCAAAACGATGTATTTTTTGTACTAGATATTTTATAACTATTATAACGTTGGCAACATTGATAGACAAGGAAATGAAAGGGCGGTAATGTACACTGAATATTTTTGTAACTTCTAATAAAGTCTTTTTACAGTTAATCAACAAAATATTATTTTAGTGTTGGCAATACTCAATCAAAAATATATAATCTATATAATAATTGAGTGTAAGTGTTAATAATTTTAATGTTGGCACCATTGACAGATAATTAAAAATAAAATGTTATATATTTGTTTATTTTCATACAAAAT